TGCCATTTTTCAAGGATTGACGGATGAATGGATGACTGAATACTGCTGAACCCCTTGAATCCGAGAAGCAAAATGTCCGCTAGAGGGCGGCTCGCGACGTCCTTTAGTGGCGCAGGCCACCCTCTATCCGCTCGGCTTGCCGCTGCGAAAAGTTGAGGAGCGTTTGGCTGGGCGCGCCGATTATCTCGCTCCGATGCGGAGGCGCTCCGGAATCTGGTAGCTCTGACTCGGATGATTGGAGCGCTCGAAAGTGACCAGCCGATGAGTTGGTTGCCGGAAGTCACGTGGTTACACCTGAGGGCGTTTTCTTTTTCTCCGCTAGTCCGGCGTGTGAAGCAGACGACGACGAAGTTGCGTGCACCGTTTATCATACAATTGACGATTTGCAAAAAAAGCTGCTGCACATGCGCGAGCAGAGTGTGTTGTTGCCAGCGCCCCCTGCTCGGTTGGAAAACAAATGGGCGTGACTGCTATTCCTAGGCGGCAACAGGCGCGAAAGCGGGTTCGATTTGTTTGACGCCATGCCAGCCCACTGTGTTGCGCCGACACGACGTACACACCGCTCTTCATGGACGGCGCACACGTCGCTCGCACAAGACCGAGCTCCTTGTCTGCGGTGTCGAGGTTGAGCATGACGTTCTGAACGTATCCCTCTTCCTTGAACGCCCAACCACGATGTGCCTGACGGACTGCATGTGTGACCGAGTTCAGGTAGCTCCAGACGCTATCACTTGAGATGCTACAGGGCGACACGTCCGACACCCACCCCGTGGCCCGAAACGGGACACTGTCATCTTCCATCATTTCGAAGCACCGGGAAATGGAGAAGAGGAAGCACGGAGGACAGCATGCGTGCACAAGCTCCAAGGCAAACCAAAACCATGCAGCACGAGTTGTTTTCCAACCACCTTCTATCCTCGCACCCAAGTTTCCGGCGTTGCGCGATAGGTGGCGCGCACTTTTTTGCAAATCGTCAATTGTTTTGCACCAATATGCTTTCCGTTCGATGTTCTAAGCTCGAAGATCGAATGGCTGGTGCCACGAACGACAGTGCCGTAGTAATGGCCCAACTTCGTGGCAACGTCTGCACGTCGTGCGCCGCCATCGCACCGTCCGACTCGCGGTAGTTCGCCATGTAGAGAATGAAGCAGTACATCTACTTCCTGTCATCTCTGCGTGTTTTTTTTTTATTTCGATCACTGTATTTGCAGTTTCTTGGAGGCCACAAAACGGGGTTCTAATTCGTTTTTATTAATTTCGTGGGTCATTTATTGTACACAGATGATCCACAACTTTAAATATATTTTGTACAGATAGTTTAAGTGGCACGTAACATGGAAGAAAAAGAAAGCACGACTGAACACGGCCAATTCTCAACCGGCTGTCCTCGGGCGGAAAGAAAACGTCCTTTGAGCCGCAAATTTTGTTCTTTGTAGTTGGGCTTTAATAAATAACAAAAAAAAAAAAACATTAGCAGGGACATTTAAGACAGTTTACATGCGTGGGAATCCAAAAACATTCCTACATGTAGTGCATTTCTACAACGAGCGCACGACGTCTTCCTTTCCCACACGGAGCTCCGGCGTTGACGTTACGCTCCTCCAATGCGCAGGCGCGGCGAACTCTGCCGGCTTCATGACGGCTTCCGTGACGAAGCATAGTGTTGCTGTGTTTTTATTTGTGTTTTATTGGGAATGGGAATTTAGGTGCCGTTTTTCTGCTACAGACGGTAACAGACAACGGTTACAGACAATGTGGGCTTCGCTCCGTGGGACAGCTTTTGCTCTCGAATTAAAATCTTCTACGAGCATATATACCCTGTGAGTGTCTGTTTAAACATGGCACCTCTCGTTTAAAGCGCCATCTGGAGACTCCCAAGTAGGAAACGATGTCGGCAAGTCCCGTGTCAGAACTGTCCGATCCGACGTGCGAACTGTCGAAACGACGTTTGGAGGCGAGTTTCCGTAGTAGCAGCGGAGCGTCGGATGGGGCTTTGTCAGCCCCACCTAGAATCAGAGTCGGATGGCGCTAACTCGACTTTTGGGCCCGAGCCCGACCTTCGACGCGCTGATTGAACACGAGCCCCAGACGAACACTGACACAATACTCGTGCCCTATCTCATCCCTCGACCGATCTGACTTTGATAACGGTGCGTAGGCCTTCTGTTCAGGTGGTGTTGCTTCTGTCCGGCAACGGCATGCGACGAACCTGCCAGATATTCGCCACACTGCTGTCCGATTTTCAGAGAACTGCAGCCAATGGCAGCATAGATGGCGCGAACGTCCCGTTGTCACGTGCCTTTCGGAGCGATCGGGAGAGGAGGTGCTACGTGGCCTGGGAAAGCGGATGTGGCGGTGTTCCACTCGTCACGCCGCACGTCGTTGTGAAGGAAACGGACGCCATCGAGTTTTTCCGAGAGCACAAAACGAGATGCTGATTTCACGCGTCCATAGCAACTACGCCTTCTGGGACATATCGAGACCGTTGAGACACGAATATACTCCGTTTCACCTCACGATGGACATCAGCGGACGCTTCGAGCCATCTTAATGCCGTGTGAATGTCACGTGAAATTCTGAAGAAACGCAGCCTTCCGCAGGGTGCGTAGTCCCGTGATTTGTACGCAGTGTTTCGACTCGCTGGGATGGCTCCTAGGGTCCGATGCGGTCCATCATGATTAACACATGTTGAGCAAAGAAGTAACGTCACGTAAAATCTTCAGACATGCATACTTTAATGCAATATATTTTATTTTTTTTAGGTCAGAAAAGTCACAAAGGACGAGGGATAGAATAATATTTTTTTTGTTTATAGTCTAGGTGGAGCAAGCTATCGCCCGTTATGTATACCGCCATTAGAATTCATACGTCCATCCAGTAGAAGGATACCTCACTTGCTGTCGTCGCCCGCTGCGCCTTCAGCCTTCCCCGGAACGACGCGTCGGAAGCCTGAGTGTCGAACTGTCGAGTGCGGCGAGTCAGAGCAGCCATCCCTCCGACAGTTGTCACATCGTGATTAAGCGAGAAGCACGAACACAACACGCCGGGGGCGTCTGAGAGATGGCTACTTCACGCGACTGTCTTGACTTGGATTTATTCATCGAAGCTTTTATTCAACGAAGCCTAAAATGATCACTCCCTAACTTAAAGGAAACCGCGTATTTAACATATGTTAGGCCGGTTTTTCAATATGCCCTGCAACCGTCTGGGACCCGGAACGAAAAACATTAATAGACAAACTTGAAAAAATACAACATAGAGCTGCAAGGTTTGTTTTGGGACGGTACGGGCGGCGAGACAGCTGTACTCAAATGAAGACCGAACTGAGTTGGGAACCTCTCTCAGCCCGCCGTAAAAAATTGTGTTTAAAGTTTCTGTTTTTCATATTTAAAAATAAACTGGAATTCGCAGTGAAAGTTACTGAAAAGAACCATATTATATTTCTAAACGGAACGATCATGCTTTCAAAATTAGAGACTACTACGCCAGGACGAGCATGTACGCCAACCCTTTTTTTGTTAAAACGATACGAGAGTAGAATGGGCTGTCGGAGCTGCAAGTGTGCAGTGAAAATTAAGATGTGTTTTTTTTTTCCAGCATTGTAACCCCCCCCCCCCCCCCCCCTGCTGTAACGCCCTCAGGCACTACGGGGTAATCTCGGAATAAAAAATAAATAAAGAATTGCCTTGACCAGCTAGACTATCAGTTAGGTCTAATTCTAAAAGAAGCAAAGATTACCACTTTAATCAACCAAAAATTAAATATTACACTGAGCCCCAAATAGCGGCCAGGCTTTTTAAATCGACCGCAAAAATCGTTTTCTTAACCTATCGCGTTCCGATTTTGTACAGCGTTGGCCACAGGTGGTGCTTTTTGTCTATAAAATTCGCAAAGAGCGAGCTTACCCGGGGAAAAAGTAAAAGAAGAAAAAGTCTTAACTCCTATGGAAACGCAGCGAAGCCACCGGTCTTCAAACCATAGGGCGCCCTACGGTTTAAAGACCGGTGCCTTCGCTGCGTTTCCATAGGAATTAAGACTTTTTCTTCTTTTACTTTTTCCTCGGGTAAGCTCGCTCCTTGCGAATTTTATAAAAAAAATGCTCCACCTGTGGCCAACGGTGTAAAAAATCGTAACACGATGGGTTAAGAAAGCGATTTTTGCGGTCGATTTAAATAGCCTGCCCGCTATTTGGGACACGGGGTATGTAGATGGTGACATATTAGTAGGCGACTACTACAAATTTCTCAACAAAATGTTACTTTACGAAAGCTTTAGTGTCTCAAAAAGTCGCGAGTGGCGTTGCTTCAGCTCTCGAAACGTTATGGTACGGTAGCGAGTTGCGAAGATTGCAAACGCGCTACTAAAATGAAAATGTTGCTCCGCTAAGGTAGAAATAGCAAAGGTCCTAGGAGAGTGCGGATAGCTTTGCGTAAATGGCAAAACGATCTACTGAACCTCACTGTTACTATAGGGTGGCTACATCCGAGCCGACGTATAAAAACGTCACGGAAAATTTAGCAAATGCACATAGAAACCCCAAAGTAACAATGAAAGTGCACCGAGCAAGCCAGTTTTCCCTCGTAAAACTTCAAGGTGTGTACTCCTGCAAAACGAAAATAAGAGCAAAAGTCTTGCCAAGTCAACTTTGGGCGTATTCGCAGACAAGGTAGCGACGCCATTAGCTTGTGGCGCCACCTTCCGACGTGGGCAGCGATCAGACGACGCATTCCCTTTTAGCCGATGACAGTATATTCCCCCCCCCTCCCCCCCCCCCTCCCCCCCCCCCCCCCCAGGGAGTAGGAGTGCCGTGCCGATGCACTTTTGTCGCTGCTTGATTCGCTACATCGGATCGCAGCGTCAACTGGGACATATTTCAGCTGAGTGAGCGAGGTCGGTTCACATATTTGGAGCTGCCACGAGTTTTACTCCCCGGCGAGTAATATTCTCGGGAGGATTAGAGACAGCAACAACAGTCAGAGCGAAACGAAGGGGCGGCTCACTTGCTGTTGTCGCCCGCTGCGCCTTCAGCCTTCCCTGGCGGCGTGCCTTGCTTGTGCGGCCTGTGGCTGAACGCGCTGCCTACGCATAGGGGGCGGCCTGTGGACTTCTTCGCCGGGACCTGTGCGCCGCCCTTGATGGTCTTCCGGGGCTGGACAGGAGGATACGCGGCAAAAATGAAGGCCAGTTGGCACACAAAAACACACCGAATTTTAATTAAAGGTTAACGGAGGGCCACTAATGCGATCTCCGCGCTATGCCACGAAGCCCAACGTAATAGGCTGTACGTAATATTCCTGCAAGCTACCATCATCGTGCCATACGGAGTCGCCATATTGGAGGAATTCTGCCATCTGTGGACGTAGAAAATCTGCAATCAACTCTGTTTTCACGATTTTAGGACAATGTATTTGTGCATTCAATGAATTTCTATTTAGCTTTGGTACAACGGAGAAAAGAAAGATGGTGACAAGATTGTAGAAAAGGAATTGCCAGCAACGCTGTTGCCAAGACCCGTTCCTGAAGCAAACAAACGGGCTATCCAGGTAATCGCACGGCATTTATCGAAGACGCCTTGCGAAGGGCTCTTCCGGGAACCCCTAATATGGCGCAAACTCTATAATTAATCACACGCACGCTAGATGGCACCTCTTTTTTTATATGGTGTATAAAAGGCTACGCGCAATGTCTTCTACGCTCCTCCCTGTCACCGTGGCATCGACCGCGTGATGGCTCGTTCACACTTGCGGATCCGCGGGCGAACCCACGGGGAATTAGACGCCGGGCGGCGAAATAGGCTCGCCGCTGATGGAATATTCGACGGCTCTATTGGTACGGGACCGATTTTTCCCGCGCGGAACTGGTTTCCGTGCCACTGCAGCCAATCGGAGCGCGAGAAGAAAATTACGTTTACTGACGTCACATCCTAGCAGAATTGCCCTAGTTGTCCGGGTTGCCGCAAAAATTGTCGGAGTTCCCAAGTCGTGCAAGTGGCGCCATCTCGTTTTAAGGTTGTGTCGGAAGAAATACTAAGCAGTATTACAGAATTATTCAACGCTCTTCGAGAGAACGCATCTGAAGAACGAAACCAGTGCCCACAAGGGATTTCTGTAAAGTAAAATTGGCGCTAGCGGTACGTACCCGCGCTATCTCCGGTTTGCGCAATATTTTATTATGGCATTCTCGTATCGCCGAGAGAATGTTGGGCACTTCCCTCTGGGCACTGTGGGTTGTTAGCTATATTATAACGCGCAGCGATGAAATGCTGGCTGCGAAAGCGGTTTTTCGCACGCCGCTCGAGGCTTCCTTCTCTGGTATCCACAAGACACCGGTTCCGCGGGAAAACGGCGGGCGGCAACAAGTGTAAAAGGCGGTCACTTTTTCCTCGAACTACGTCGGTCGACCGCAAGAGAGCTTTCCGCAAGTGTGAGCGAGCCTTGACAGTGAAGTTTTCGAAAGAGGCAAAGTAGCGCTCTGGACATTCTCCGTCGTCTGCTACAACCGGTTCTGTCTGTACCACGGTGGTCTGTACACATCATTTCCGGCGTTTCTTTTTCAATTCTTTCAATATAGGCACGCACGCAATGCGGGATCGTTCACAACAGAAGTTATAGTGAATCGTTTTCTGAAAGGACAGCCCTATGTGTCCCTGTTCTACGGGCATTTTTCAAGGCTTTATACCGAAGAATCTAATTCCCGTTCCCATCTCTTTCTAATCAAGAGTTTGTCAATTTTCCAGTAACGAGCACCGTCTGGGAAGTTGTCTGCGAACTAGAAATTAAGGGCAACCAAACATGCGTCCACCAGTCGGAACATTTGACATCGTGCAAATTTATCGTGTTCTTTTTTTTTTCTTTTTACTTTTTGTACTCAATATTTTCGTTACTAAAACAAGTCGTTAAGACAAAATGCACGCAAGGATAGGTACCGACAATGTTCGTCCTGTGGGACGTTTTTTCTTTAGTGATAGATTTGACACCAAAGAATCCTGCAATATGGTGCTTGTTTTGAGCAGAACGCATATCTGCATGGCTGCCTTTCTTTCGTGATTTTGGTAACTGCCTCCAATACCAAAGGCTATGCTGTGGATATCCCGAGGCGGCCATAGCGTTCACTCCTTACGAAGTTCTGGTGCTAGATCCTCAGCTTTACGCGGATGGCTGTCATTTACATTTATTGCTACCTCCCGAGGCTGGCAACCCGTCCGTCTCCAATTCCCGAAAAGTCCGACTGCGGAAATTATCTCTCGCCAAGCTGGAATCTCGTGCCGTTAGGCAAAGCATTGACTTTACGCAATGTTAAGACGAACAAGAAATCGGCAGCGATTTACATTTAAAGTCCTATACTCCATGGAATGCTGTTTCTAGGAGCGACTGTCTCATATGTTTGGAAAGTCGTTACGGTAGTAAAGAACTTACTTTCTAAAAGTTTGAGGAAACTGAATTAATGTGTCAGGTGACCAGGGGTGGGGAAGAACGGCAAGTGGGGAGACAGGGGGAGGAAGGGCACTATAGGGGGAAAAGGTATAGTGGAGGGGAGAGGGATGGATGGGAATGGGAGGCAGATGAAGAGGTGGAGAGGACACTATAGAAGGGCGAGGAGAATTCGTAAAGGGGGAGGGTTAAGAAAAGAGAAAAAAATGGGAGAGGGAATCGATGTTACAGGGAGTATAATTCGCCGCTCAATTTTGCGAGGAAACTGAATTGCTGTGTCACATGACCAAGGAGGAAGAGGGAGGGAGGACTCCGTAGAAGAATGGAAGGGAATGGGAAGAGGGAGAGAGGAAAATGTAAGGAGTTAGAGGTAGGTTGAGAGAGAGGGGAGATGGAGGGGGAGGGCCAGCACCACCTCAAGTCAAGGCCGTAGAACTTGGTTTCGCGCAGGGACCGGGTCATGAAGCGTGTTGGAACCCGTTTGGTCTCTCCATTGAATTTCACGCGCACATCTTCCTCATTCGGGCTTTGCCTAGAGCAATCCAGCTTGCCCGTTTTGGAGTATGCAAGCACTGCACTAACATCCTCTTCACAATCCTTGCATCTACCACGCCTCGCCTCCTCCGTTCTCCGTATTTGTTCTTCTGTGGGGTGGGGCTGTTGCACCGCCGCAGGAGGATTGACTCTGGTGTTTGTTTACCAACGCCATACGCCCTGCCGGTGATGTTTACACCACGAAGGGGACCGCCGGTGTCGCGCATCGCCGCCTCGAGTCAGTGAGATACGATCGCAGTTGCGCGCTGGGATATAACCTTCGGCCTCACTTGGGGTGAGGGGGGGGAGGGGGGGGGGGCGCTACCACTTATGAATGCGAGAGCATTAACTGTCCCACGGAGTGAGCCGACATCATCAGTTTGATGCGCGAAAACGGCACCTAGTTTCAGCGATGCCAATAGGAGCAGAGTTAAGCTGATGGATTTCGCCTTCGGTTCCATTGGCTGGCGCGCGTCGACGGGGACTCCCATTGGCTGCTGAGCTCGACAGTTTCCACGACCGCTCACCTCATGGCACTGCGTATCCATCAGCGCGCCGTTAACACGGAGCATCCAAGGTCAGCGTGCCCACGGGAGCATGCGCGCTGACCGGTGACGAAAGGACGCAGCAGGCGAAAAAGCGAGCGGATGAGCGGCTTGCATCCTTTCGCATTCACAACTCATAAGAAGTGCTTAGGTGTACCTCGAGCTTTTTTTGTCGGTAAGTCTGCATCAAGGAACACCCGTTTTCCTCCGCCGTCTTCAATTATGCTCCGGCTTGGAGTCCAGCTACGCAATGCGTTACAATGCAATATTATACCACCAGCTTAACCTTCCGTTCAAGCCGCGCCCTATATCAGTCGGACCAAAGACTTCCGTAAAATCGCTCGGTACTAGCGGTTCATAGAGCGACGAATCATATTAATTTTGTCAGTCAAGTACTCACATTAAAGTACTAATCTGAAAAGGTAGCAAGATGAGTATCTAACCAGCCAAGTATAACACCCTAATAAGTATCGGACGCGCCGTAAAGTATCAGCCACATTAGCGATGAAAACAAGCTCGTGTGTTATTTCTAGAGTGCTTCATGGCACCTGAGCATTAATATGACCAAGTACGGATACCGTCGTATGCGTCGTTCGTGCACCACTAGTCGTTAAGACAGAAACGCCCCAGCGGTAACTGATGCGGCCACAACCTGGTTACACTTTTTTTTTTCTTAACAAAATAAGGCAATATGTTCTTGCAGATTTTTAATTACCTGCTGCATCAAGGGCCGATCGGGTGAAATTCAAAGAAAATCGAGAATGATTATATATATTTTTTTTAATTGCGCCACAAAAATCGCAAAATATTTACTTTTTCGATTTCGACGAACATTCCGGGCTTAATGCAGAAAATACTATCAACAGTAAAAAACAGTAAAACGTTAGTGAATTTGCTAAACATTTATAAAGCCTTAAACACTGGACACAAAAAGTTTTGGCTTTTTGTGTCCAGTGTTTTTAAACTTGATAGACAAAGTAACACAATGGATGTTCATTAAGATTGTTTCAATGAACGCTTTCGTTGTTTTCAAGGTGCACTTTGTGCTTTATCATTCCTGGTTTTGAAACGTCGTCCTGCCCGCCCTAATAATTTTGACACAGAGGTGGTTATGAGTCTGGTTTTTAATTGCGCTTTAAATATTCTCTTTTTTTCTCCCTAGGTAGGGAGCTCGGCGACACCTATAAGAAGGGCACGAAGCTGCGTTTAGAGGGATTTGAGTACACGAGACAAAAGGCGGTCTCCTCCGGCATTCCATGGCGCTGCGTGGAACGAACGAAAGGCTGCATCACAGACGGAAGCAATCAAGATCCACGACTCTCTGTTCCTCATGCGCACCCTCCAGATCAAGCGCTGACGGAAATAGCGGAGTTTCGGGCAGCCTTGAGAAAAACTGCAATAGAGACGAACGGGCCTCGAAGTCCAATCTGCGCCCAGGCATCGGAAAACCTTCAAGAGTCCGCAAGAGCCATCCGAAGAAATCCTGAAGAGAGACATCCGTCGCCAGAGGAGTTCTGTGTATCCGTCAACACCAGCCAGCCTCAACGACCTAGTCCTTGATGGTGTGTGCAAGACAACATCAGGATTGCCACCTGAGCCATTCCTGATCTACGATAACGGACCCCAAGCTCGTTCGAGGA